TATTCCTTTATGGCAAATTTTCTTATTCATCGAGTACTTTAACCCCACTGTTTTCTCTAACTAGGCAAACCCAAGAAAGAGAATTATATTCAAGAGATTCCGGTAGTCCGAGACTTTTCAGATGTGTTTGCAGATGAACTACCCAGACTGCTAGTGGACAGGGAAGTCGAATTCACCATAGACCTCCAGCCAGGCACCCGGCCTATTTCGGTTACTCCTTACCGCATTAGCCATGTCCCTTTCGGGTGCCGGAGTCACTTTTGCTAGAAAATAAGATGGGATGTTGAGGTTATGTAGTGATTATAGAGGGTTGAACAGAGTTACAATAAAAAACAAGTATCCCATTCCCAGGATTGATGACCTTTTCGATTAGTTGCAGGATGTCCAGGTCTTTTCCAAAATAGACCTGCGTTCAGGTTACCATCAAGTAAAAATCAGGACAGAAGACATCCCCTAGACATTCTTTCGAACCAGGTACGGACACTATGAGTTCCTGGTCATACCATTTGGGCTAACCAACGCCCCAGTCATCTTCATGGACTTGATGAATAGAGTCTTCAGATAATTCTTGGATCAATTTGTTATCGTGTTCGTCGATGACATCCTATTTTATTCAAAAAGCAGAGAGGAACATGCTTACCATCTAGCTCAGGTTTTTTAGGTTCTCAGAGGAAAGAAGCTGTATACAAAGTTGAATAAGTGTGAATTTTGGCTTGAGCAGGCCACCTTCCTAGGACACAATATATCAAAGGATGGAGTGTCAGTGAACCCTGAAAAGATTGAAGCAGTGCTCGGTCGGGAGAAATTGACATCAGTTAAGGAGATCAGTAACTTTTTGGGAATAACGGGCTATTACCGCAGTTTTGTGGAAGGATTTTCTAGTCTAACTGCTCCCCTGACCCGATTCACAAAGAAGAATGTCAAGTTTGAGTGGAATGAGGACTATGAAAGAAGTTTTTTAGAATTAAAGAAGAAACTAACTATTGCACATGTGCTGGCCTTACTGAGTGGATCGGGGGGATATACAGTTTGTAGTGATGCCTCCTATTTAAGCATGGGTTGTGTTTTAATGCAGCATGAGAAGGTCATAGCTTATGGGTCCAGACAGTTGAAGAGTCATGAAAAAAACTATCCCACCCATGACTTAAAGCTTGCTGCAATCGTACACGTCTTGAAGACTTGGCACTATTATTTGTATGGCGAGATTTTTCAGATCTATACCGATCACAAGAGTTTGAAACACATATTCACTCAAAAAGATCTCAACATGTGTAAGAGAATGTGGATAGAACTTCTTAAGGACTATGATTACGACATCTTATATCACCCAGGTAAGTGCAACGTGGTAGCCGATGCACTCAGTAGAAAAAGTACAGGTACATTAACACATTTGATGGTTTCAGAATACAAGCATATTGGGGTCACACAACAGGTACGGCTTCAGGACTTGAGAAGAGTCACATGTTTGGGTCACCTGACCATTCAGCTTAAGTTAATCCAGAGAATAAGGGAAGCTTAGTCTGCCGATTCTGCCCTAGTAGACCTCAAGAGGGATGCAGAACAGGGAGTTAGCTTAGAATTCTGAGTTTTCGCCGATGGGTTGCTCAGATTACAGGACAAGGTGTGTGTTCCAGGTGACAGTGAGTTAAAGAAGGATATCATGACAGAGGCCCATAGCTCAAAATTTGTCATGCATCTCGAAAGTACTAAAACGTACAAAAGTATGTGACTCTAATTTTGGTGGAACAAGATGAAAAGAGATATAGCTAACTTTATTTCTAAGTGTTTGGTATGTCAGCAGGTCAAGGCAGAGCATCAACGCCCAGACGGGCTACTTCAGCCATTATCGATCTCGTAATGGAAGTGAGAACATATCACCATGGACTTCGTGATAGGATTACCTAAGGCACGCTCAGGACATAATACCATTTGGGTAATTGTTGACCAGCTTACCAAGTCTTCCCATTTCTTTGCTATCAGGATGACCGATCCCTTGGACAAGTTAGTAAAAATGTATATCCAAAAAATAGTCAGACTGCATGGAGTGCCAGTGATAGTAGTGTCCGACAGGGACCCCAAGTTCACTTCTCGATTTTAGAATAGCTTTCAGTAAGATATGGGAATGAAGTTGTCCCTTAGTACTGCATTCCATCCTTAGACCGATAGACAGTTAGAAAGAACAATTCGTATACTTGAGGATATGCTCTAAACTTGTGTCCTTGACTCCAAGGACCATTGGGATGACCATCTACCCATGATAGAATTTGTCTACAACAACAGCTACCAAACGAGTATTGGCATGGCTCCGTATGAGGTGTTATATGGGCGCCCATGCAGATCGCTGATTTTTTGGAAAGAAGTGGGCGATAGAAAACTATTCAACCCAAATATGATAGAGAAGACTACATCCAAAATAGTTAAGATCAGGAAAAACATTTTAGACGGCTTAGAGCAGACAGAAGAGTTATGCGGACACCCGGAAGAGAGATTTAAAATTTGAGAAAGGCGATCGGGTGTTCCTTAAGGTCACTCCTTTCAAGGGAATCAGTAGATTCGGCAGAAGGGGAAAACTGAACCTCCGATTTATTAGACCATTTAAAATTTTAGACAAAATTGGTACTGCCGCCTACAGACTAGCACTGTCTCCAGAACTTTTTAAGATCCACAATGTGTTTCATGTATTCATGCTACGCAAGTACAATCCGGACCCCTCTTATGTCTTGGCCCACGAGACTCTTCCACTCCAGGAGAATGTCTCATACGAGGAAGTACCAGTCGGCATTGTGCATCGAAAGAGTAGATTACTCTGCAACCAAAAAAATTCATTTGTAAAGGTCATATGGCAGAACCACACACTAAAGAAGGTTACATGGGAGCTAGAGTCAGACTTTAGAGTCTAGTATCCCCAACTGTTCGATTTAGAGTGATAGACAAATTTGAGAGAACAAATTTCTTTTAAGGGGGGGAGTTGTAATACCCACCAATTTTTTATTTTATTTTATTAATAAATATAATTATTTATTTATTTTATTTTATTGAAAAAAATTAATTAAAAAAAAATTTAGTGGGTGTTAGAGGGTACATAGGGAATCCTACCGTGAACGTTATTTCATACCGGATGGAGTATGGAGACTTGATAATTTGGCGCCCATACAAGACGGGGTATGGAAACGACCCGCTTCACCATCATACCGAATGGGGTATTGATGTTTAATGATTTGGTGCTCATACCGGACAGAGTATGGGAACGGTACTGTAATTGAGATTGTTAAAAGAAATGGTTCATGTATAGTGGGGACATCCCTATGAACTTCCATAGATACTAGTAGGCTGGTGAAAAGAGAAACAGTTATAATTTGGTTTATTGTTAATAGATATAGATTTATAATATGTTCTATGTTGCTGATTGTTCATGAAATTATGATATGTATGGTATTATTATTTTTATAGGTTGTTTTCATAAATTCCACTATGGTAAGTGAAAGAGAAATGATTTTATGATTAATAAATGAATTTACTAAATTTAATGCTCAATTAGTGGTTTTCGATTTTATACCAATATTTGCTTATGTGTCGATGATATAGTGTGATATTCTTACTGGGATAGTGTGGTTCATCTTTTATTTAATCATTTCAGATCAAGAGGATCAGGTTTCAGAGCCCGATCCGCAAGAAGATTGCGAGTAAATACTAGATATTTTCTATTTTCTATTTGTTTTTTTAGTTCTCGTATTTTTTTCGAAAAATTAATTCTTTAATATTATTTAGTACTTTTAAATTATTATGTAAAAAATATAAATTTTAATATTTTATTTTATTTTCGCACTTAAATTATTATATATTTTTTTTGAATTTTCAGAGTTTGTTACAAAACTCACTGACACTTAAAAAGGCATCCAATTGTCAGGTATAAATCAATGGTTGGACAACTATTTACTTTTTCATGTATATAAAAATTATAATGAAAAGAACCGCGTCAACTATGAAATTAGGCACAAATTTTACACGGAACAAATTCGGTTATATACATGTGTGTGTGTGTATATATATATATATATATATGTATAAACGCATATTTGGCTTCTTTTTTCTTTCTGTACACTTTGGTAAACGTCACCATTTCTAGGATCCTGAAATCCCAACTTACTCTCCCTTCTCCATTTTCTGTACTATGCCTCCCTTTGACATTTTACACCAACCCTTTTTTCTTATTTTCCTCCTTTTTTTGTATATCCATACAATATAACATTGCTAACGTGTACGTTTATTTATACATGTCATATGTCACATGTCATGTATCATGTGTGTTTGTATATGTAGACTATATGCTTATATAAATTGAGAGAGAAAGAAAGCTACACGCATAAAGGATCAAAAGAGTGACACAAAGCAAACGTAAGCCACTAACCAAAACAGCCGCGTAATCAGAAAAAAACCAAAAGGATTTATTAAAGCTTTTTAACTGCCGGTTGACGCACGACCTTTTCAATTTCTCTTCTCTCTCTCTCTCTCTCTATATAACAACACACAGATCAAATCTCCCATTACATCAATCTTTGCTTTTCTCTCTACGGAATTTTTACAAACACTTACAATGCAACAAGCAATTCCTTACAAATCATGGCTCCCCATCTACGCCAACGCCGCACTTAACCCATCCCCGGTGACCGACGGCCACCCTTTGTTCCATAAACCCTCCTCGAATAAGATCGACGTGAGCAACATGGTTTCGGAGAATGCAGTGATAGTGTTTGCCAGGCGTGGGTGTTGCATGGGTCAAGTTATGAGGAGGTTGCTGCTGGGTCACGGCGTCAACCCGGCGTTGTACGAGATTGATGAGGAAGACGAGGTGGGTGTTTTGCGTGAGCTGGAGAGAATTACTGGTGGGGGAAATAAAAGTGAACTGAAGAAGGTGCAATTCCCGGTTGTGTTTATTGGGGGGAGTTTATTTGGAGGATTGGATAAGGTGATGGCGGCTCATATAACTGGAGATTTGGTTCCTGTTTGAAAAAAGCTGGAGCCTTGTGGCTCTGATTCTTGTCAATTTAACTTTACTTTTCAATGGAGGGCTCTTTTGATGATTTTAACATCTGGGTAAAGTTTGTAATGAGGGAGGAGATGGAAGATCATTTTTTGGTTAATTTTCCTTTTTTTCTTTCTTTTTAATTACAACATTTGGGACTGTAATTTCGCTCCACAGATCAAGAAAAAGAAATTACAGAGTCGCTGACTCTTCATCTTCTCTCTCTCCCTGGACATAATTTAATTTGCCTTGTCTTGACTTCAACAATTTATTATGAATGAAAGAATGGAGACGTTATTTATTGAAGTTTTCTTTTAATTAAATAACAAGTGACGTTCGAGATAAGAGACTGGTTTGCGTCACACGGTGGTAAGTTGCATCTTCCATGACGAACCACCAAACTTGCTTCAGTAAACACATGTTGCCAACTTGCCAATTTCCTTCCAACCCTTTTCTATTCTTCTTCCTCCCTCTAATCAAATTCAATAACCTTGTTTTTTAAAAGAAATGTTAAATTAGGTATTGAACCATATCTTTATTTGAAACAAAGAACATAACTCTTGCTGGAATTATAATAATTTATTGAGATAAACCCATTACAGTTCTACAAACACAGTATTAAATTAAATATCATAAATCAGCATAATCATTTCATTATGTACTCAGAAAATAACAAACTCTGTATATTTAATAAAATACAAAAATAACTTGTATACCTACTTAATTTTCTTTCTTCAAACATACAATAGATTATTAGACACAACAACATGGTGTTTTTTTTTTTCTTTCTTCAAGATTCTATTGATAGCTACTCACAAACCTAATCAAACGCTGAGCTCCATCTTAATGTTTAAAAATTCCTTCACAGTTACACATCATTATATCAAATCCTATATTTTTACTTTGGTTGGTTACATAATAGTTTTTTTTTTTTTTTAATTCATTTTCTTTCATTCGGAATGTAAGTTTCTCTTGCCCTCCACGCTTATGGTCAAACATAACAATTACAATGAACAAATCTTCCATATAGAGTCCGAGAAAATACAGTCAAAGGGACCTATCTGGGCATTCCTTCTACGTATCACATATGGGTCATCCGATGAGCTAGCTTCTACAAAAAGTAAGATTACATGGTTGAGAGTTTTTACCATACAAACCATTAACCATCAAATTGTATCCAACCATGAAGCAAAATCATCTAACACTCTAGATTTGTTAACAGAATGAGAAGAAGTTTTGGTCTCATGAGGAAAACCCTTTACTTCCTGAGGCTGAGGTGAAGCATTTTGGTTCACCAGATTTGACGTTTGTTCAAGTAAATCGTCAACTACATCATCAAAATTGGCAGTAGTTGATGCAATTCTCCGTGAACCTGGACCTTCTCTTAAAGAATGAGACTGAGATGTTGAAGCTTGTTTGTCAGCGTGCGAGAGACTGTTTTCAGATTTGTAGCGGGGGGCATCAGAAATCTTGCTGTCACTAAATGAGTCAAGAAGCATATCCAGTTCTGCCTCAGCTGCTGATGACTCAAACATAAAATGCTTCTTCTTTGTCTTTGCAGAAGAATTCACATTAAATTGTGCAGTGGACTCCAGTGGTCTACTTTCACTAGATTCCCCAAAATGATTTGGAGTTGATTCATTGTTCATGTGATTCACCAAATTCACCACAGGGTTCATCAACAGTGAATCCACATACCGACTATCACAGGCTGAATCCATCTTTTTATCCGCAGCCACTTCTTCTGAAATTCTCGTGGCTACTCTACTCTGCTGTGTTTTGTGAAATCGGTTAGATTCCTGATTGCTGCTTCCTTTTGGTCCTGTATTCTGTTGAATAAGCAATTCAAGGTGTCAGTGCAATCCTATAATTTACGAGTCAATGGGAAGAAATGAATTTACAAACAGGCATAAATTTTTTTTTTTACTTTCGGCCAAAGGACTGAATATCGGAAATTTACGAACTACTCCGAATTTCCAAAACAGGACCAGGACAGTATAACTGGTCTCGACTATTCTCGATAACAATTAAAAGAATAAAGGAAAAGAAAAGTTCAAGTCATATTTGCAAAACATTATTGGTAGGATAATCTAAGTATCAAATGGGATATGAAACGTACCAGTTCTGTTGGCAGAAGATCTGCTTCGATGAAGAGCCTCTGAGGTAAGTCTACTTTTTCTAATTGTTCCTCAAGGGCATTCAAATCGAGGGACAGGAAAGCTGCCTATATGCATAATCGTTACAGGGGAAAAGACAGGAAAAAGATTGTGTCAGAAAATAGTATAGGCATAGCTAACATAAATCAAGATTTGAAATGATGAATCGAGTGGGTAACAGACAATGACCCCCACTGAGTGAGTCCTTCAAAGAAAAAAAAGAATCAAGTGGTTTGAAGCAAGCCTCAGTAGTAAATGCTTACAGCTCTATAACAGAAAACAAATTAGGCACATACTGACACCTTTTTTTGCCAAATGTGAATCTTTAGGTTAAACTTTTTACTTCTACCATAGCACTCTAAGAAACCCATCCTTCTTACAGTTCATAAAAAGTTTACTGATGTCACTCGCCCTACGATATATAATAAAAGATAATGGGCTCCAAGAAGCCTTTGTGGTATATCCAGCCTAGAAACAAATATTGGTGATATACACATAAAGAGTGTATGAGTGCATCTTGTCATTGCATATGTCTGCAACCTCAAGGATTGCACCTAACTGGGTTTAAGACCTTATTGCTGTGTACTAGCAACCTAAGGTTCAAAGACTGTCTTTCACTTAAGGTACCATTCAACATCTAGTCAGCAACAAATCTAAAGCAGTTGATGTCCCATCTCTTTTCTCTTTGTCGCAATAAAAGACTGAAAAGTCATCAAAACCTGCAATGAAAATTGTATCACTGATGAAGCTCCAGCTAAAGTCTGAGTACTCTACTAAAAAAAAGTCTTGAGTACTCTTTCTTCCATAATATTTTATACCACTTTACTCAGCATTATTTCAGTCAAATATCGATAGTTTACTGTATTTTCCCAAAAGGAATAAATTGAAATTCACTTCGATCACTAGGAGGGCAAGGCAAGGTGATTGAAGCATCTAATTCTATCATTGACTGAAAAGAAAATAAAACAAGTAATTGATATTCTCACAGAAAGAAATCTACAAAATGAAGGACAAACTCACTATAATCTTTTTATTCCATTTGAACATAAAATCTCAGTCTCATTTAAATTTATAAAAAGTGAAGAAGAATGATAATAGATTACCTCAGGACTTGCAGTTGTTTCATCTTCGACAATAAAGCTATTAGCCCCAATCCATGACAGAATGGCCTCTCCCCTAACTGAAAGCAGGGAGCCTACTCCCAGCTTAAATTCCTCTGTCATAGTTTCATATCAAATACTTTAAAATAAAATCGTTGTGAAAGGAAAGTAACTAAAGAAAACTTTCTTCACATGCTACATAAACATCAAATAGGACATTGCTAATGCCGGTGGCACACATTGATTAAGTAGTTGGTGCCAAGATTACAACCAGCACATCTTATAATAATGCTGGGAGGTGGAAAGGGAAGAGGGAACAGCCATATAGTCTGAGCCTACTATAACTAATTCTGGTTAATATAACTGAACTACTTCTTGCTCATCGGCTTTTAATTTACATGTCATTTTCATAATAGATGATGTGTTACACATCCCGAATGGGATAGATCAATGTCATGATGCAAACAAATGAACCTTAAAGAAAGTAGAAATAGTAGAAATTCAGAAAATTTATAGCAAAAGGTAGTTGATGGAAGACAGAAAGAATTGTCAATCAAAAGCAACTACTTTAAGGACACCAGTTGAATGAAGATGTCAAAATTTTGTAGTTAAATTTATTGAAGGCAATAAATGAGAAACATGAGAATCCAAATTTGCTTTTACTACTCTATGTAGAAGGGTGAACTGCTCTTAGAAGCCATCTATTCTTTTGTTTTGTTTTTTTAAATAAATGGAAATGTTTACATAACTTTTGTCCTTGGAGCAACCAAATGTCACCAGCTGAACACAGAACCACTTGAGGACAATAAGATCTACAAAGATGTTAGGAATGATATCATTGTAAAATTACACAGTGGTTCAAAGTAGGTTCTCAACTAACAACATTTTATGCATGTCAGTACGTGTGTGATTACTTTTTGATTTTTATCCATTGGTAACAAAATTACATCTAGTTAACTATCTTTCCATTTATTATACAAATATAACACATGAAACATCTACAAATTTTTATTTCCATTGAAGGCATTTGAATCAAATTTGGCATAGAAACGAATTTGCAAATATTTATTAGTGGCTCTCATATCTAAATAAATTCCAAAAATAACAGCAAAAGCAACTAGCTCAGAACATCAATTAAATTGTCAGCACTAAGAACTACTAGTACTTAATCAGCTACATTTTCTTTTTTGAGACATCTAGCCATCCCTTGCTGTAATTCTTTCTCAATTTCTAATGATACTTCTTATATATATATATAAACAAACTTAATCAAGCTACATAACAGCCAAAGAAGAAGCTGACAGCTTCATATTCGTATTTGTTTATCTGATCCCACATAAGTTTGATGGTTCACTGTTAGAATGGTTAAGGACTAGTAGAAAATGAATGCATATAACAAACAGATATTAGTGCATCAAAATATTCAACACATCAACATTAAAGAGCTAATTAGAGATATTAATCAAAGATAACTAAGGGAATACCAGGTAAAACATCATCAAAAGATAGAGAGCTATTTGAATAAGGATGTAACTGAGATTGAGCCTCAGCAATCATGTGACGAAAGTCTGCCCCTTTACTCCTTGGCATAATAACATCAGAGGGTTGATTTGAGCTATCTCCCAAAGAGTTTACAGAGCCTGAGTCAAATTCTTCTTCATAGCGATCCCAATTTGATGGCAGCGCAGATGCATGCCGGGACTGCCTCGTTTTCTCTCCAGCCTCCTTTCCCACTGGCTTTTTTATATTTCTACCACTACTTGTACCATCTGAAGGAGCTTTCAATTTTTGGTTTGGATGAGGCCTTTTACTATGGTGAAGAGAGTGAGCTCTCTTTGATTTGGCTAAAGCCTTTGCATCCATTAATGACATCTATAACAACAATCATGTGAAAATCAAACAAATAGAGAATAGCTTATACAAGGGACGAATAAAAATTTGAAACAATGTACGTAATCAACAAGCATATCGATAAAATAATTAAATATTAAGCATAAGAAATATTAATGATAATAATAACAATGCTTTTCAGTTCCAAATGAATCTTTTTCCAACACTACAGATGTTCTGGAAAAAAACAAACAAGTATCTTATTGCTAGTAAATACTGAAAAAATCAGCAAACAATTTTACCATCAATTTATTTGCTAGAGAAATAATCAAACCGAAGAAAGCTTAAAACCTAAAACCCAATTCCTCAAATAGGAGAGAAAGAGAAAAGAGACGAGAAAGTTCACCACAGGGAGCTATTTTGAATAGGGTAAACCCCTTTTCGGGGATACGGAAGCAGGGGTACTGTAAATCCATAATTCTAACAACGATAAGCGAAAGATCAATAGCAAAACGAGATTAATATAGAATGAAGAGATAGATTAGGTATTAACGATAACAGTGTACCTGTTATAGGATTTGATATTTTGATTTTGCGATAACAAAGAGCAAGTATGCTTGAACTAAACGTGAAAGTGCAGGGAAAGCATGAATCAGTATTTTCCAGGATATAAACGGCACCGTTTTCATAATTTGAAAAAGAATTCTTTTTCTTTTTTTTATATACATAAAAAAAAAAAAAAAAAACCATCTGTGTTTCTTGAAGTTAAAACGGTGCCGTTTCTCTCTCATTTTGCCACCATTTCCTTGATCGGTTGAATTTTGCCATCAATTAAATCACGAGACCACAATGTGGATCGGATTCAAATAATCCATTACATGATGGGCCGGAACCTACGGCCCAAATTTTGGATCCATTCGGGTCTAATAGAACAAACTCATTATTCAATAAAATCGATTCGGCCCAAAATTTATTTTGTCCGGCCTTGCAATATAAAAAAAAAAAAATTATTTCCAAATTATAACTTTCAATTTTTTAAAATTAAAATAGAAAAAACTTTGTGATTTTGTATCAAATATTTTCTTTAATGTACATAATAGTAACAACATTTATTTAGGGGCTAGATTTATTATATATCAAAGTTATTTTTTGGAATAATTTTTTTGAAATAAAAGAAAAAGACGACTGCAACACAAAAACTTATCAAGAGATCACCCATCTTAATACTACTTTCGTCCAAACATATTTTAACTACATAATTGTGATGAGATTCAGTACATTAATACCGCTACGATTGCACTCGCTTTTGAAATAAAATTTAATTCAACTAAAAATAACAAAAATTCTTTAAGTTTTAAAAATTAACGTCAGATAAACTTTAATTAAATATAGATTGGTACTGTTTTATTTGTTCATTAAATTTTATACGGTGTTTATTTTTATTATATATATATATAAATTTATAAAAATTGAATTTGTAATTAAATTTTATATATACATTTTAAAAAAAAAAAATTATCGAGATCATAAAATATCTATTTAGAGCATTAGTATCTTATATTTTATTTAAGCCTTGGTAATCAAGAGTTGATTTGGGAAATTGAATTATCAATGAAAAGAAAAAGAAAGGGTATTTGTAAGGGAGACAACCTCCAATCAAGGAAATGTAGTAAAAATAACAAAGAGGACTACTTTTTGGACTAAATATATTTATGTAATTATCAATGCCTTTCCCATTTGAATCATTTAGTAAATGACAAAATTCAAGTGGAAATATATATTGGACCTCATTTTCATATTTATATATAATATTCTTTTCTATAAGCATGTAATATTATATATATATATAAGTATTTATATGTGTGTACGGAAGAAATTGGCTTTGAACAATTCCTTGTCTTTTTTCTCTTTTTCCTCTCTATCGAAAATACATGCAATGAAACTCAATGATTAAATCCATGGACGCGACATAAATCTCCAAACAAAGAATCATCTATTGAGACATCCATAACTTTTTTCTTACCCTTAGTGGAGCTTAAGTGCTCATATATATATATATATATATATATATATATATATATATATACATACGTGATAACGACCTTGTCTAATTTCTCCCACGATAATCAGCATATACTTAATTTAATTATTAATTATTATTAACTTTATTTAATGCACAACTAAAACTTAATTAAAAATCTTAATTGGGCATGCATGCTTTTGGTGACCTAATTTTATAATTATTTAATTAATCATATTTTTGGGCATTATTTGCTCCGTCTATCATACTCTTTTGTGCTCAACAGGGATTCATGTATGGTCCCTAACTTAATTCATTCTCTTTCTCTTGAAAATTAAGGATATATATAATGGGTATATTATATATAAATTAATATATATATATATATATATATGTGTGTATCTGATTCATCTTTCTGAGAAAGGGATATCGATGGTGTTGCTTTAGCTTTGCTTTTCCAACCCATTTAAAAAAAGAATCTTTTTTTTTTTTTTTTTCTTAATTAATTAATAAATTTATTAATTAATATAATTATAATTGACAATGTTTTGCATGGGTAAGTCGTACATTACCATTTTTGGATGATAGTTTGTAATGGTTGTGCCCTACCTACGATTAATTATATATCTTACCACCACCCATATCTTAATTCGACTGCATAAACTATTATTAATAGTCCAATTTATTTAAAAATAATAATTAAGATGTGGGTATAACTATTCTTCTCAATCTCTTGTTTTTTTCATCTGGTTCGAATATTTTTGTTTACTTCAATTTTAATTTTTTTTTTTCAATTTTGAAATATTATTCTTGATGTCTAGAATTTCAACATAATAAAAAAAAACTTTAATTTTTAGAAGACATTTAGTTTAGATGCAATAAAATTATAATTAAATAATAAATATAAATATTACACGAGCATATATAAATTGATAAATTTAAAATTTTTATTCAAAAATTATAAAATAAAATTTTAAAGTAATGAATTATTTAAAATTTATCAACTCATTTATGCTCTTAAAGTATATAGTAAATTTTTATAATTGAATTATCATTCAATGATAATAGAACTAAAATATAATTAAAGAATAATTAAATTACATTGTTTGATTTACACTAAGAATGATTAATTCAAATATATTTATTACATTTCTTAAAGATATATATACGAGGCTAAAATATAATTAATCTATTGTAAATAACTATTATAAATTGATTTCAATATATTTTAGTAGTTAGTAGTACGTTCATTAATATTTAACTGAGTAATTTTAATATTACATACATATTAATAGATTTTACATATTTTTTATTATCAAACTTAAATAAAATATTTATTTATAAAAATTCACAACATAATTGACGTAGAAGCTTCAAAATAAAATGTTTATTTAAAACACTAATAAAAATTTAAACATATATCACATAAACTTTAAAAAAATAATTATTTTTATATAAAATTTTTATATCACCTAACAAAGCCTATGTTAGTTATGATTAATAATTCATATTTTTGGTATAAATATTGATGACAATAATAGTTATAATAAAATTATAATTCAACCAATTAAAAATAATAGTAGTCTTTTTTTATTATAACCTTCTAATATACCATTATTCAGCAACTAAAACAATCAATTATATATCTTATTTTTTAGTTAAATTTGCTTATTTTAATTTTTTAAATTAGAAATGATTACAAATTTAAATTAAGAGCGAAATTCATTTTAATAAAGCACGAAAAGACATATATATATAAAGAACATTCTAATAATTAACTATAAAATATAAAATGGACCATGATATAGTATACAAGAAAAAAAAACATAAAGATATATATGTGTATGTATAGATGAGATAAAACCAACACGACAGGATGCACTTCCACCTTGTTTTTAGCCCCCCTTTCTTTATTGACATTAATTTGTTTAATTAATTACTATATGATGTGATTCACCCAACAAATGCTAGTCATAAAATCCAATTTAAATATATATATATATGTGTATATAAAGTAAATGTATTATTATATATATATATGGTCATATATGGACATGGATAATTTTATGTTGGTTTGACTAAAACTCGGGAAAGTATAGTAGAGACGGAGACTTGGTCAAATCTAAAAATAATGAAAGCCAATAATTATATATGATGATGCACTATAGCTATGTGACACATATATACATACTTCCTCATTATAATTGAAGTGTTTAAATTTGCATGTATAAATCACGAATGAAGCCTTTTGTCTTCTTCCATATTGTTATATATATTGCATTAACAGAGGAAGGCTATATCTACATGCCTAAAAGAATTGAAGATAAAAATTATACGGTCCATTATTTTTTTCTACTATATGAATTGTTCCCTTGAATTAAAATAATATTTGTTTTTATGGAATCACTTTCTTTAAATTGATCTCGACAAAAGTTAAAATCGAGTTTTCAGACTCTATTAAGGAACATTGAATGTTTATCATTCTTTTTTTAAAATAAAAACTCTTTATTAATAATCAGATTATCATTAATACTCTATCATTGCATAAATAGTGTATTTAAAAATATTAATATAAAAATAAATTAATATAACATATTACTTTATTATAATATAAGCTAACAGTATATAATATTATGTTTGAGGTTTTAAAATATATTATTGAATAGCTTTTTATAGTTTAACTTAATACAACATTTCTAACAAATAAAACATTAATTGAAACAAGAAACTATATCTCGTTAAAGTGAAACTTAAAAATTATTACAATTTTATTTGAAAACCCACGTTTAAGTACTTGAGTGCATTTTGAGTACTTAAAAGTTGTTATGAGACATCAATGATTTCTCAAGACCTCATGCAATTTCAATATGTCAAAGTAATCCCAAGATTCTAGCTACTCTCAGGGCTTTGGAGGAGTTCCTGAATCTTGCTAGCATTATCCTAGAACCATGAGATGAATAAAACTGAGGTGCAATCCTACGATGTTCGAATTTTTTAGGTATAGTTTCATCATGACCTAAGATTGTCTATAACTAATAGAAAGAATGAGGAATAAGTTTGGTTACTTATTTTGTCCTTTGTGGACCAAATAAATTCCAACATAATATTTACTTCATAGTGTCTTTAAGTTCATTGTAAGATTTGTCCAATCTTGTATTGCTCATAAATGTGTGATCATTTGTTATCTTTTAGTGTTTTGATATGATATCATGTTTAAAAATTAATTTGATAATAAATAATTTTTCAAATATAAGTGGGATTAACGTCTTTAGTTAGGTTGAAGCTACTAAATATAAATTAGGGAGTCTTCTCTTTACATACTTGAAAGTTTTCTCTCGATACAAATCATCTTTTTAGATAAAGGATTTGATATTAAAAACATTAAAGGCATAACTGCATGGGGACAAAAAAAGTTTATGACGACTGCAACCAAGATCACAGTGATTAAATCAGTAATATCTTTAACTTTTGCATGTCATTTATGAAGATTTATAAGGTATCTCAATTAGACTAAATGCTTATGATATTTCTATATAGTGGTCAAACAACATGAAAAAGATCCATTTGATTAATTAGAGTATAGTGTATAGAAGTA